AATAAAAATAAAATAACATATTAAAATAAAAAAATCAAATAGAATAAAAATTAAAATGAAATACAGTCAATTTTAAATAAAATATAAATAAGATTTAAAATCAAAATTAAATAAAATAGAATAAAATAGAATAAAATAGAATAAAATAAGATAAAATACATCTCTTGGCCTTCAGTTTCTATTTTATCTGTTTCATGTTATTAATTACTTCCCAATGGTTACAATTTCTCAACCATATCTGAAACCCTTGAAATTGCTGTGTGATATCAGTCTGATATTTGATTATATTAAGAAGAAATCAGAACCAATAAATGCTATTTAAGCTGGGCAGTCAAAGCCTCTTTGGACAATAAAGGCTTATCCTCAATTTGATTTTTGGAAAGGCTCTTCATTGCAAATACTATTTCTTATCCTACACAAGTTCCCTTTCTAAAGAGGGAATGCGTGGAAAAGCAAACAGACTGAATTCTGCAAAATCCTTCTGGAGAACTAAGGGGGACCCATAGGCTGCAGATTTTGGAAAATACATCCTGAAAGCACAAAAACATGACAGTCAAATAATTCAATAAAACCTTGTGGTCCCCACTAGTGAATTTATTCCCACAAGGCAGGAATTTTTGCTCTTCTGACAGACTAAGACAAACCCAGAGAATGCCAAAGGACATTTGCTCAGAAAATAAGAAAACAAAGGAAAAGCCAGATTTTATTTTTCCCCAGATATTTATCCAATGTATTGCTACAATTCAGAAAAAAAGTCTGTGACAACAAGGCCCCCACAGACTCCAACTGATAAAACACTACTGCATTTCAATTCTGATTTCATTTTTGTTTGCCCTAGGTAGAAATTCAAATATTCAGATTATCTTTCCYACCTTTACAAATGAAGGTTTACAATATTCCCTGTTAGAGCTCAGCAGGKCAGGTGGGATAAAGGAGCTCTGGGAGCAGGAAGCAAATCCTGTTGAGATCCATGTTCTCAGCAGATTTTCTCCCCAATTCTAGGAACAGGGTGGCACAAGACATGCAGGCCGTGCTTTAAGCCAGGCCAACATTTTTGTAAAGCTGGGAAATAGCCCAGGAAATACAAATATCCTCCTCTGGATACAAACAGCAGTGTTACAATGCTGTATTTTAATTACAATATGGCACTGGGAGAAGCTASAGTAATCCAAGCCTGGAGCAGGAGCACACAG